TTTTTTTTTTGGGGGGAACTATTAGATGAGGCCAAGTTCCGAACCTGCAGAAAACACCGACGATAAGCCGAAGGGTTTACGTCAGTTGTGGCACATGTATGGAGAGTGCCCGGAAAACACAGTTCCGGTGAGGAGAACAAAAGAAGAAGATCTCTTAAGGTCGACTTCCCTCGAGAGTTTCGGGAAAAAGAGGTATAGGACCATCCAACAAGTTGTTTCAAGTGGTCTAGGTGCTTCTGTCCACGAGGTATATCCATCTCTATATATATGCATTTGAATATCTTTGCAGCCATTACTTAACCCTCATTTGATCTCTTTTGTTTTTGGTGCTGCTTTAGTACGGAATAGTGCAAGCAAAGAACGTCAGGGTTTACGGTTCGAAATCATCCATAAATGTCTGGAAACCCTTTGTCCAACGACCCGATGAGTTCAGCTTGGCCCAGACATGGGTTGCCTCCGGCAATGGTTCTGATCTCAACACCATAGAAGCTGGTTGGCAGGTCTTATTCTGATTCGGCTGGTCATCTTATGCATAAGTTTTCTCGCAGCTGCGTCATGTATCTCTCTTGTCTCGATTCATATATACATACAGTCTCTCTTGTTTCACCTTCTATATATGTCCATGTCATCTTTGTCCAACGACCCGATGAAGACTTGTACGGTGACTATAATACGAGATTTTTTATCTACTGGACAGTAAGTTTTGACTGTTATGATCCCGAGCAAAAGTCATTAAGAAACTGGCAGAGGAAGTATTTTCTATTGTTGGAAGGGATCCTCTGTTTGAGGTATACATCTCATGTCATTTATAATCAAGTCTCTCTTAGAAAATAACACAAACCTGTTCAGTTCAGTGAATAGTTGATCTTCTTAGAAGGGATGTTGGTTAGATATTTAAGGATCTGATGATTTGTTAGTAGCTGTTGCTCTGGAGAAGGCTGCACTCTCAGGCGATTACTTTGTCAAGAGAAAGCTTTACCCTAACCTCGATTTCTACTCTGGATCGATATATAGGTAAATGATAAATCCAGATTTTGTGTGCATCTCTTCCCCTCAAACACTCTACAACAATTCCATTAAGTCGGTAATCTTCAAAAACAGAGCAATGGGATTAGGAAAGCATGATAATTATGTAGTGAAAGATTGGATTTTAGAGGGTTAAGGTGAAGAGCTGATCGATGATGCATTAGTTATGATGGAATGAGTGTTGCTATTTGGTGAGACACTTAAGAAACAATGTTAGCTATCCTGGTCGGAGTAACTGTTGTTTTGTATGTTGACGGGTTTGCGGAATTTTTGCAGGCTTTAGATTCTGGATCCCTGTTAGCGTACTTCACCTTTTGGTATGAATTCTCTCCTTTTGCCTCTCTCTCTGATTATTTCCTTACCACCGCCAAGTGCCAGTCTTCAGCAACATCCCCCGTCCTCGTGTCATAATGTATATGAATTGAGATATATTTTTTCTTTGCAATTATTCTTCTTCTTTTTTTTATGCTTTTCTCCCCTAAATCTACAATTATCCTATAATTTTTAGATATATATTTCCTTACTTTTATCATTTTTTTTCTCTTCAACACTCCCCCATTCAGATGAATTATTCATAAGATAGATCAAATATATGGCCTATCCAATTCTTATTCAAAATTTAAATCTTACAAAATGATAGTTGAATTTCTTTGCATCTATCCTAAAATTAAATACTTATCCTTGTAACTTACCATCTAAAATTTTAGACTGCATATACATCAACTGTGTTTACTATTTTGTAAATAAAAAATAGGGTTTGAATCCGTATTATCACTTATATAAGAAAACAAACAAACCATTTGCGTACATTTGTACATTTAATAGTGTGATTTGCTTAGCGTTTACCTATAAACACACACATTACATATGTATATTATATGATGAATACTCGTATAAGATAAATCAAGGGTCCTTGCATCTTGTAAATAAAAAATATGGATACGAATCCATATTATTGTTTTCCATATATTTTATTCTTGTTATAGAAAAAATCATTTTTGAATATTTATACATTTAATAGTGAGATCAGTTTCACTATAAAGTTTTTTTCATATGAAATTTACCGTATATGTGTATGTATGATGAATATTCATAAAAGATATATGGCATGTACTTACATTTTTGTGAATAAAACTTATGGATTTAATAACTATTATTGGTTTCCGTATATGTTATTTTTCTTGTAGAAAAAAAAAATTGTTAATTATTTATATATTTAATAGAGTTTCGCAAAAAAAACATGAACTTTTTTTAAATTTATCAAATAAATATATAAACTTTTAATTGTATATAAAAATATACAAAACCAATATAAGCAAAAAAAGATGATAGGCGGTAGAGTCAACGTCTTCGTCGATCTACCCAATCATTCTTTAGTTTTGAGGAAAGAAAAAGGAGGAGTTTGTAGATCGTGAAGTGAGACAGCAAGAATGGAAGGAACTTCTCAAAAGCTGCAAGACAATCGTTAGTAAATGAAAGGTGCATTCTTACAAAGGAGATACGTGAGAGGTTCGGTGATTTTAGATAATTCCTTGATGAAACGACAGTAGAAATCGGTATGGCCTAGTAAGCTGCAGATAGTTTTGATGTTATGCGGTGGTGGTAGCTTCTCAATCACTTCTATCTTTGCCTTATCAAACTTGATGTATTTGTTAGAAATCTTGTGTCCGAGTATGATGCATTCTTGTACCATAAAATGACATTTCTCTCAATTGAATACAAGATTGGTCTGCAAACAAGTATCTAAAATTTTACGCAAATTGGTTAGACAAATATCAAATTGAAGATTCATGTACGGAGAAATCGTCGATGGACGCTTGATACACGCACGGAGCCAATAAAGTCTCGCTCGTTTCCTTCGGTGAACTGCAGTTTGTATGTGCGTGTCTTATGTTGCCTTTTTGGACAACGAATATAACAAGCTAGAAACCAGAAGACACACTTGGAGACTCACTAAGGTATTCCTATGGTTAGATTTCAAGAGGATATCCAGGCCAAAGGGCACTCGGAGTCCTTAGAAATCAACCCACAAGTCGGACTAAAACAGAGCGCTCGAGGGCACTCGGTTTAGGTGATAGATGGAAGGGAAGTTCCAGGCCAAAGGGCACTCGGATGATTCCCAATTTTTGGTGGAAGATAGGGATATGAAAGAGGATTCAAAAGATCCAAACCAACATTGAATCTACCACGTTTTGACCTTGCACAAGGGTGACACACACATACATGCGCAGAAGGCGATACTCTCGGACACACCAAGAAGAAGAAGCAAAATACAACTCGATTTCTTATCAATTCAAAGTCTATCATTTTTGACATACAAAGGCCTTTAAATAGGCTAGAAACACAGAAAAAAACAAAGAAAATTTGTGCATAAGGAGGAGCTAACACAATACAAAAGAAAGATAATGGAAACAAATACCATAAAGTAAAGAAAAAGTGGAAAGTTGGTGGAAGTGGACGACCAACGTCTGCAACGGTTAGGGGTCTTAAATAAGGTCTTCATGAGGTTGAAATGATGTAGAAAGCTTCCCAAATTCGTGCTTGATAAGGGCTGGCCGAAATTTGGTACAAATGTGGCACCATATCCTCTCCAATGAGATGACATCTTGTGCATAATATTTTTGGACTCTTTGGGCTTTGATATGCAGCCCATTTATTGAGAATACAATTCTAAAATATCTCCTTGTAAGCCCATAGGTTAGCCCAAGAAGTTTTAACTTTTAAGTGTTGCCCAACAATAGGCCAAAATCGATGTATGTTTTGGGCGATGTTGATTCATGTATCGTCTAGTTCATTCGGGGTTGGTTTGTCGGTCTTCATGTTAACTTTCTGTTCTCATTTGCTTGGCCGTATTATTGTGTTTGATTATGAAATCAGAATCATAAGATGTATTAATATATATATATATATGTGTGTATATTTATATGTATGTATATATATGTGTGGGTGTTTATATTTGTATATGTACATGTATGTATATATATGTATGTGTATATGTGTATGTATATATATTTTTATTTTTTAATTTATTATTATTAGTTAATTTATTATTATTAATATATGTATGTATATGTAGATATATGTGTATGTATATGTATGTATTGATATATACATATGTGTGTGTATGTACATGTATATATATATTTATATATGTGTATATATATGTATATATATGTATATATGTATATGTATATATATGTATTGATATATATGTGTGTGTATGTATATATATGTATAGTTATATATGTCTTGGTATAAATATATGTGTGTTTATATGTATGTATATATATGTATATATTTATATACATATGTATGTATATATATATGTATATATATGTTATGTGTATATGTGTATGTATATATATTTTTATTATTTATTTTTATGATTTATTATTATTATTATTAATTAATTATTTTTTATATAATTTCTGACGTGGCGATGACATGGCGTGATGATTAGGAGAGATAATGAGAATTTTGCCGCCACGTAGGGATTTTCGTTTGTCTACGTGGCAGTTATTTCACGGTAGATATTTTTGGCTAATAATTTAAAGTATAAGTTTTATTTGGAGAAAAATCAATTGTACAGGTATTATTCAATAATTAAAAAAGTACAGGTATTAAATTGAGACGAGGAAAAAGTACAGATATTTTACGAGGATTCTCCCTAAAAAAAATTGGACGATATAATGATTTGGAAGAAATTGTGTATTCTTTTTAATATTATTATCATTTTTGCCGAGTAACTTGTGATGTGATAGCATGTGGTCTGGTTTAGGGGTGTCAATCGAACCGGTCCGGCCCGAGCCTGCACTCGGCCCAGAGGTTTCGGACTCGGGCTCGGACCGGCACGTTTTTATTGTGCCTATATAATTAAATCTGAAACCCGATTCTATGCACTCTAGGCTCGGGTTGGGCCGGGCCGGACTGGTGCGCGGATTTTTCTTTGTAAATGTTTATTTTTTTTTCTTTTTAAATTTTCGGGCTTTCAGGTGTGATCCGACTCGGATCCAAAACCCGATTCGAGTCCGGTCCGAAAGCCAGATTTTTTCGGATAAAAAAACTTCGGTCCAAAGTCCGATATTTTACGGGTTGGGCCGGGCCGGGCTTCGGGACTCGGGCTCAGTTGACACCCCTGGTCTGGTTCATATTGCTAAACGTTACATCTGTTCTTACAAAGGCTCGTTCCGTCAATTCGGGCCCATAAACTAAATAAAGACTCACAATGCGTTATTCAAAGGGTGTTCAGCGTATCGAGGGAGGCAAGCCCACCAATACGCGCTTTTCCAGCCCTTATAGTCCACTCGCTTTAGGATATTGGCACGTGTCAAGTTCATAAGCCCACCGCCGATCTGGTAGAGTGGGTTAGAGGTCCCTCTCTTAAAGTCCCCGTATGAATGATAGATAAGATTCTAGGCACTTGAATATTCGGTTTCTAGAAGAAATCTTAGCCGTTGATTCAAATGATTTGATCTCACCGTTAGAGTTTTACACGTCACTTTGGTCCCATAATCTTGCCCGCAGAGAACTCGCTTGCTCTAAAAGGATATAAATAAGAACGAAAGAACATTTCTGTCGGCATATTTGATTACGGTTGAGCCAGTCAGATCGTCCGCGATCGAGCGATGGTGCACGCCGGCGAACATTTCTCCGCATGGTTCCCCCAAGGGAACGCTGACGATCGTCGACGAGCGCAAGAGGAAGACATATCAGGTCCCGGACTCCGACGAAGGTACCGTTAAATCCGTTGATTTCAAGGAGGTATGTCCGAACCTAATCTGGAAGCTGAAAAAATTGTCTTTTTGGTTGCGAGGATCATGGGTAGTGGATAAACGGTGAACTTGATGTTTTCGCTCCGAATTTCGATCTGTATTACCTATTTGTCCTTGGAAATGAGAAGAAATTTGACGTCTGATTAAAGAATTTTGAGTCGGATCAGTTTATGGTGGGCAGATAACGACTGGTAAGGGAGACAAAGGGCTTAAATTTTACGATCCTGGTTACTTGGACATGGCTCCTGTCCGGTTCTTTTATTTCTTACATCGACGGAGATGAAGGCATCCTCCGATATCGAGGATACCCAATCGAGGAGTTGGGCCTTGGCTTAGAGAAGCGCTTTTCTCGAGGTTGCTTAACTCCGCAGTGAGTATAGGTCATGTATACACCACCGAAATTTTTTTTTTTTTTTCAATTTTAACCCACTTTTCGGTTGGAAAAGTCCGAAATACCCTTTTCGTTTTATTTTTTGCACCTTATTACGACTAACATATAACTGATATACAACTAAAATAAGACAGTTGATTTTTTTGCCACCTTTTTTTGAATCAATTGTAACTATATTTAGACTTAATTACGAAGTCGTAATAACGAACTTGTTTTCGAACGGATAAATATCGTAATTCATTAAGGGTAATTTCGTCTTTTCACGGGAAAAAAATGTGTTATGTTTTCGGTGGTGTACAGATGAAATAGATGCGACCCAAGTGGGTTATTTGGGTAAAAAACCCTTGGGGATTTCGCCAAGTTTTTTCCTGGTTCTTCATCCTTGTGTTTCTCTCTCGTGCGGCGAGGCGATTCTCGCTTCTCCGTGTTCGGTGCCACCGTTCGGCGGTTTCCGGTTGTCTAGTGCTGGAGGTCTGCATGATGGTCTGACTGTTTGACCATTGTAAAACATTTCGAGTTGATTGGACAGCAACATAGTTTGATGTCGATCGAGGGTTCTGAACTCAGCTTAGAGCTCTTGAGCTATAGATATGCGACGAATGTACCGGCGATTTTGAAAAGCAAGTGTTTGGTGAAAAAATATGTTTGTTTTGACTTGATATTTCTTATTATGAATGTTTTTGCAGGATATTATACAGTCTATGCCTCATGATACTCACCCAATGAGAGTTCTTGTTAGTGCAATGGGTCTTTCATCCTGATGCAAACCCTGCTGTCAGGGTAAGTTGGGACTGACTTCTTGTCTAATGACATGTCTGCAATTGTGTTGTCGGTGTTGTTAAGATGAGCTCTTTCTGAAACTGGCCATATGAATATACTATGCTTTAGTTTGTTTATTGGTTTGTCGGGACTTCGCAATGGGTGCAGGAGCAGGAGCAGGACCATGATATTTACAAGTCTAAACAAGTTAGAGACAAACAGATTGTTCGCATTCTTGGAAAGGTATGTTTTCCCTTTTTCCATTTGTTGTTTTGTTACTTTCTCCTTGTGTCCGGTTATTCAATTTTTCACCCAAAATCTGTAAATGGATTTGAATTTAAATGTGGGTTTTGGACTGAAGTTTTGCAATGTGCTTATGAAATCGAATGCGTTTGCAGGCACCTGCTTTTGCAGCAGCTGCGTATCTGAGGATGGCAGGAAGGCCTCCAGTTCTTCCTTCTAGCAACCTTTCTTATGCAGAGAATTTCTTCTATATCCTGGATTCCATGTATGTGGCTGCCCACTATCACTTTCCTCTTAATTTGGTTAGACACTTGAAAGGATCATCAACAATGTTTAAGATTTTTATTTCTGATTTATGTTTCCTAAACCCATTCATAGGAAGCATTGATCATGTCGAACAGTTGCATAGTTTCTGAAATCACTGTCCCAACAAGTTTCTATTTTTCAAATGATCACAGGGGCAATAGGTCTTACAAACCTAATCCTCGACTGGCTCGAGTCCTGGACATCCTGTTTATACTGCATGCGGAACATGAAATGAATTGTTCCACTGCTGTTGCCAGGCATCTTGCTTCCAGGTACATCTCTTTTCTTTGGTTTGGGCATGATGACGAACGAGTCTGGTAAGAGGTATCTTACTGAATCACGTGTTTCTGCAGTGGTGTTGATGTGTACATTGCTGTGGCCGGAGCTGTTGGTGCACTATATGGTCCCCTGCATGGTGGTGCAAATGAGGTTTAAACTGGTGTCCAAATTTTATACGTTTTTCTTTTTTGTGCTAACATCTTTGGTTCCATCAGGCTGTGTTAAAGATATTATCGGAGATTGGAACCGTTGAAAAATCCGAGAGTTAATCGAGGGTGTGAAGAACAGGTAAGTTATTTTTTGAACCACAAGTTACTTGAATTTCTGGTCCGGTCATCCTATCGATATTCTCATCCGCTTACTAATGTACGTCCAGGAAGAGGAAGATGTTATGAACTCAGATCAATTTGTAAAGAAACAAGCAGAAAATTCCTTTCTTAACAAACCAAAACAAGTGGGTTTGATTAATGAGAGACCCCTTCTCTCCCCTTTACATGACAATTCCCAGAATCAAAACGTGCCCCTCACTTCTTCTACTAGCCGTCCATATACTGCAGCTTCAGCGGCAGATGCTGAGCTGTACTAAAACCGTTTCTTCTACCAAAAACATGTACATGCCCAAAAGCAAAACTGTAATCATAAGCAATAACAGAATAACATCATAATTAGCCGCTCTGGAATTTCTGCTCTGTTGTCTGTGGAACCTTCCTCTCAAACCGAAGCTTCTCCTGACATCTCTTCCTTCTTCCTTCAGCCCTTAACATAAACTTGAAAAGGCATAACAGAAGATGTCGGGTTTTGGACATCGTGTTGTTTACAGAAACTATGATCCCGAGCAAAAGTCATTAAGAAACTGGCAGAGGAAGTATTTTCTATTGTTGGAAGGGATCCTCTGTTTGAGGTATACATCTCATGTCATTTATAATCAAGTCTCTCTTAGAAAATAACACAAACCTGTTCAGTTCAGTGAATAGTTGATCTTCGTAGAAGGGATGTTGGTTAGATATTTAAGGATCTGATGATTTGTTAGTAGCTGTTGCTCTGGAGAAGGCTGCTCTCTCAGGCGATTACTTTGTCAAGAGAAAGTGATAAGCCTTTCCGTATTTATACGAGGAAGAAGAGAAAGATGAGTGAGGATGGGACAAGAAAGAGGGCCAAGAAGGACGATGCGCAGGAGAGAGCAAGAAAGGAGAACGATCAGGAGGTTGCTGAGTAAGCAAAATAGTTACGAAGCATGAAGGAGGTGGGAGTTACATTATTATTATATTTAAGAATATGTCTGCGATGTTTATGGAGGTGTGGGTTAGTGGGGAGGAATGGGTGGTGTTATTCTATATGTATCTATGTTGTTTCAGTTGGGGGGTTATCGAGTGTTTGACTGAGAATTGTGGGGAGTGAGAGTGGAGGCCTCTCTTGAAACAAGCCTTTCACAGTTGTTCTTCATATTTTCTGAGTGAAATACACCTCTTTGTTCTTTGTTCTTACCAAAGGAGAAAGATCAACGTTTTGAACAATTGGAGGAGATGGTTTCTTCCAAACTGGAGCAATTTCAATCCAATATGGAGGTGTTTCAGGGTACAATTGTAGGGATGCAGAAAGATCTAGGTAAAATCGCTGTCATGGAGAAGATGCTGGAGAAATTGTGTTCGATCTGTGACTCACGTCAGGAATCGGTGCAGACTCCACCAATGGTTCAGGACCCAGGTACTCATTCCTCTTGTTCCCAGGATCCAGGAAAAAGACCTTTTGAAACCTTTCCCGCTTCGGTTTCTGCGCCTTCTCTTCCGACAGCCGTTCCACTGACGAGTCTGGAGACTGACGCCGCGTTAGCAGATGCCGCTGGGGCACAGCTTGTAGCAGGATCTGAGATCCACCTTCGGAAAATCGAGATGCCAGTGTTCGAAGGAGACAATGTAGTGGGTTGGTTATCTCGCGCCGAGAGGTACTTCGAGCTTGGGGGTATTCAGGATCGAGAGAAGCTTTAGTTGGCTTCCATGAGCATCGATGGCCAAGTTCTTCACTGGTACAATTGGCAGAGAGCTCGGTGTCCTTTTCTGACTTGGAATGATCTCAAACTCAGACTTTTGGAGCGGTTCGATGAGCGAAAATCTGGAGCAGTGAGTGATCGACTAATAGGCACTTGTAAAGAAAACCTCAGATTGTATTTCCCTTCGCAAAGAAAAATACACCGTCAAGAGAGAAACTCTCTCCCCCCCTTACAATTCTCAGATTTCGGATAAAACCCCCCCAAAGCATGAAATGGAATAGTTATAGCCCTCCTTCAGCAAACACGCTGAGGTGGCCTAGCACACACACGACATGACCTTATTTAATAACAACCGTGGTTAACAAACTCTGGAATATTCTTCTGTTGTGATATCCTTCCATGGGTGGGTCCCAGCTCCGCTTAATTCAACTTCCTCTCCAATCGTTTGCCTCCATGCTCCTCGACTTGATCCTTAGCTCCTCTCTTTCTGGACCGACGCCTTACGTAAGCCCGGAAAGGTTTATCAACACCCCCGCCTTGAAGACGAAGCTTGTCCTCAAGCTTAAATGTCGGAAACTGGGCGTTGAAGAGTTCCCCAATCTCCCATGTCGCATCGTGCTTCGACAACCCTTCCCACTCGATGAGAACCTCTACTAACTCCTGGGGGTCATAGCGGCTATCCAATACAAACTTTGGTTCTGTCAGCACGATAAGAAGTCGTACGTCCTGGAAGAGGCTCTACCACCAGAGCCTGTGGCCAATGCCACGAGAGCCATCAGGGATGCTTGGTTGAAGCATCAGACTGACGACATTGAGATCTCCTGTCTCATCCCATCTTGACTATCTACAATCCAGCACATGATTTGTTTCGTACCTGATACATGCCTTTATAGTCCTCCTGTTATGCAGGACGTTTGACGTATTCAAAGCACGTCCTCCTGTTACGCAGGACGTTTGACGTATTCAAAGCACTCAACTCCTCATGTTGGATTCTGTAGATATCTCAGGTCTTAGGATCCAATCATGAACCCGCCATATGAGATTCAAGTCATGACGCTAGTCCATGTGACAATCTCATGCGGGTCAATCCAGTATTCCGTTCTCCAACGTATACCTATGATTGTGATCGTATCCAACCTATGATCATCTATATGATCATCAATCACACATCATACTAGTCTTGATATATCATTATTCCCACATTGATACACGACTAGGGAGTTTTAGTATCGTTTATAACAATACATGGATTTCATAACATATTAAAGCATGCACAATACGTAATGAATCAAACACTCATCCATAAACTATAGAAAGTGTCAATACATCAAATGTATCTTAGTAAAGCTCGCAAACAGTACATCATAGAGCACTAAACCAACAGGATCAGCAATGTTGTCATCTGTCGACACTCTCATGTTGAGGACGTGGGTGTTGACAGAGCTGCCTCTTGGCATCTCCGTCTTCACCAGAGCTTTCAGCATCTTACACTTTTCAGTATACGCTAGCTCCTCAAACATGGTCTTGAGCTGATTGATCATATCAAACACACTCTTCCCCTCAAACTGCCTCTGCAAATTCGGGGCCATGCTTCCCAACGTATAAACCATTCACAAGATAACCATTACCATAGTAAATACTGTCTCAATAAATCATCAAACTCGAGTTCTCAATCACAAATCGAAAACCATCCAAATCCAGATATGAAATAGAAATGATGTTTCTGCTAATCACAGACACATAGTAACAATTACTCAATTCTAAAACAACTCCAGAAGGAAGATGCAAATCATAAACGACAACACACAATGCAGCAACTCTTGCTCCATTTCCGACACGTAGATCCACTTCTCCCTTTGCCAGCATCCTACTTCTTCTTAGTCCCTGCACATTTCCACAAATGTGTGAGGCACTTCCAGTATCCAATACCCATGAAGATGTAGTACAGATGTTAGCTTCTATAACATGAATACATGAGGCAGAAGCGTCACCAAGCTTCTTTTCCTTAAGATCCTCCAAGTAAAAGTGACAATTACGCTTCCAATGACCAGACACTCCGCAGTAATGACAGTCATCCTTATCGGGCTTAGGCTTAGACGTAGAGGCAACTTTTGTCTTTTTCGCCACCATCCCACTCAATCAAGTAACTCTTATACTTGATTAAGTTCTATGCACTTAATTCATGTAGACCCTCTACATAATTAAGTCATAAACCATAAACAATCATGATTAACTCAGTCAAGTAACCATTACTTAACCGAATCGAATTCAGAAAAACGCGAAAACCCGAAAAACAGGTGGTTGGTCCGGGGCTGACCAACTTTTGGTCAGCCGGACCAAACCAACTCAGAATTCGGACTCAGCTCGAATCGGAAGAAGAGACGTGTCGTGGTCAGTTGAGTTGGTGTGGGGCTGACCAAATTTTGGTCAGCTCCGGACCAGGACCACTTCCTCTCTTCTCTCTCAGTCGGACCAGACCTGGGTACGCGCAGACTGAAGTGTTGGTGAGCGGCTGACCAAATCTGGTCCGCCGGACCAAGCACACTCAGTCCGCCACTCCGTTCCTTGGTCCGCCTGATCTTGCGTTCGTGTGGTCCGGACTTGCGGTCTGGAGCTGACCAACTGGCGGTCCGCCGGACCGCGTAACTGGGCAGAAAAATCAGACGAAAATTTTTCGTCTTGATCTGTTTTCTCGCTCCGTTCGAATCCGTTTTTCGTTCCGTTTTCTCGAGTTAATTCATGGTTCAAGCCTCCTCATATCTAAGTTTTGTTACATCAATTAATCTTTCACAGATTCAATCATATAACAAATTTATCTTAGATCAAAACCAAGGAAAAATCAAGTTTAAACAAAATTTCAAACTTGCTCAAGAGTGATCGTTCTTCATCGAAACGAAGAACCGAGCTCTGATACCACTGCTGGGTCACACGGGATCCTAGACCGCTGGTTCAAAACCGTGCTAGGATCTGGTCCGCGGGTTTACGCAGCGGAAATAGCGTTCAAAACGATTTTGAACATCCACGGACCAAACCTTTCGATGAAGAGCTTTCTTGAGAGAAAAACTAACCTTTGATTCACAATCTGGACGCGGTTAGTTGATCACAGCCTAGGTGTTGAAGCAGCCAACACCCTCTTGAGTAGTCCTCCACACCTTGGAATGGATTCCAACACTTGGAATCAAGCTTGCTAGAGCTCAAGAGAACAATTCTCTTGTGTATGGAGTTCAAGAACACCTTCTTGATCACTCTTTCTCTTGGGAGAGTTTTTCTGTGTCTCTCTAACCTTCCAAAGTCAGAGGAGTCGAGCAATAATGAGTCTCACACGTTCCCCACCTGTTTCCACCAAGAAAAGGACGAGAAAACGTGATTTCGGATTTGTCAATGTCTTGGTCCGGGGCTGACCAACTCTTGGTCAGCCGGACCAAGAACACGTGACCAACTTCCTTGCCGACAGTCCGCGATTCTGGTCCGCCGGACCAGCCGAGCTCCGGACCACGAGATTCAGTCCGCCTGACTTGCTGGTCCGCCGGACCAAGATTTCGGTCCGCCGGACCAGTCGAACTCCGAACAAAACTCGATTTGCTCTGTCTGACACTGTCTGGTCTGGCTGACCAATTCTGGTCAGCTCCGGACCAGACAGTGTTTTTCGCCAAGTCAGCCCGTTTCTCCCAAGTCTGTCTGGTCCGGCTGACCAACTCTTGGTCAGCTCCGGACCAGACCTCAAAGACAAAGAAAAATCCGATTTTTCTCGTCCGTTTGATCCCGTCCATACACGTCCATCCAATATGTGTGTGACCCTTTAGGCTCCTCCGAATACGGCAGTAAACGCGAGATCCAATCTTGCTTTACAAATCATAAGCGGTCTCTAGCAAGACATTATGATTACCCGTATCGGAAAGAGTTAGATGTGATCTAACTGAAAAGCCAGAGATAGCTCTAACGATGATCCTCTTTGTCTCACGATATCATAATCGAACTCATAGTTCGAATGCTTTGTCGTATCCCGAGTAGACTGTAAGAGATAGATGACATTCATCTATAGTGCGGCCACACATTTCTACAGTCTCACTCCTACGACAGGCCCAAGCGATATCTCTCTCTTTCGAGAGGGACAAAGTTCCATCTTGACTATCTACTATCCAATGCATGATTCGTAATGTACCCGAGCCACGTCTTTATAGTCATCCGGTTAAAGACGACATTTGACGCAGTCAAAGTACATTACTCGTCATGATGGATACAATAGATATCTCAAGTCTGAGGATCTAAAGCGAACCATCAAGTGAGATTCAAGTCATGGATAAAATCCAATCGACAATCTCACACGAGTCATCCAGTTACTTGTTCCAAACAAGTACTCATGATCGTGATCCGTATCCAATACACATGATTATCATCATGATCATCCATCACGCCTCATGTTAGTCTTAATTCATCATTGTTCCCACAATGACAAGCGACTAAGGAATTTAGGATCGTACATCACGATCCATGGATAATCATTATTTATCAAATATGCAAAATAAATAATAAATAAATAATGTATTCATCCAATAAATACATCGTATCATACATGGTTCTCATATCGTATGATCATCCTAGAACATCACATCCTTCAGTTTTGATATAGGATGTCTAGCGTATTTCACTCTATTTTACATATTTGTAGGCATTCTAGGGCACATTTGACTTCAACATTGCATGGTTGTGTTCTTTGGTGTTTAAACAGGTTTTCACGCATAAAAGAACAAAAGGAGTGGAAAACATGGGCTACGGAACATCACGGATGAAACGGGAACATTTGGAGTGTTTCCAGGAAAAACGTGAAGCTTAGAAAACGTCAGAATTTGAAAGTCCAATAACTTTCACTCTACAAGTCCAAAACATCCATTCTCTACATCATTGCAAAGCTCTTCTCAATATCTACGCATAGACACCAAGATCATCCAAATCCGATATCGGAGCAAGACGTTATGAGCGAATTCGTGAAGCCCGTCGAAACTGCTCAGAGACACGAAACGATCGTTTCGGGATGGACGAAACGATCGGTTCGACATCGCAGAAATTGGAAAATTGCTCAGAAAGTGCAACCGACCGATCGGTTTGGCTTTGCCGAAACGATCGGTTCGACCCCCAGATTCGGGAAAACTTCCAATTTTGCCCAAACCGAAGGAAAATAAGAGGGGAAAGCCTTTAGGTCAAAATTCATTCTGACTTTTATTAGAAAACACACCCTAGAGCATACAAAAGGGGGCGATTATCAAGAGGCAAGGGATCGGAGTAGAAGACGGAGATTACGAAGCCGGGAAATCAACTAATCATTCTTCACTTCTTCTATTTTACGATGTTTTATATTATTAATATGAACCCTGACGTCTCGATGTTTAGCGAGTAATTCCTTTGCTGTAGGTTAGGGATTAGCTATGTAGGGATCTTTGGTTCATAATTCCAGACTTTGTGGTTTTATTTATTCTATTCGGTTTATTGAGTTGCGTTTAATGTGTTTGATCTTGTTGGCCACTTGATTGAATAAACTTAGGGTTTTAATTCGCATAGACATATGAGATTCTAACCTGGAAATAACTCAATAAATAGAACAGATATTGCATTGAGAGATGAATATTTGCCTAGGGATTATGATAGCGTTCGTTCATGCATCC